AACATACACTTTTAGCTCACACACTCAAGAGAGGGGTTAGGGTTTGGGGAAAACGGCTCAAAACTATGGAGGCTGAGATGATGGAGGGTTATGAGCTCATAAGGACGTTTATATAGCACCCAAACCCTAAATATTAGGGTTTTCATTTGACGTAAGTACGCCCAGCGTACACAAGTGTACGCCCAACGTACTAGGGTGTGACAACCCGAAATTTCTATTCTGTACAACCATTCACTTCAATAGAAGTCAGAACTGTTTCTGCTAACTTTCAAGCTTTTTGGAATAAGTTTGAGTGTTTTAAGATTAGTACTTCAGGAGATAACAGGAGAGAGAATGCCCTAAGGTTTATTGTGCAACAATAATGTCCCAAAACTCCAAGAGTTTGGAGTTTACGGCCTAAACAAAGATGTTTACGGCCATAAACCCTAAAAGGGGGTATAAATATGACACTTAGTCATTATTTACCACTTTTCACATTTTCAAGATCCAAAACCCATTTCTCTCTCAAGTATCATCCGACTTTTCTTCAAGATCTTCAACTTTGTAAGTGTTTCTAGCCCTAAAAAGTTGATATCTTACTTAATCTAGTGATCTTACATGATTCCATCCGTGAAATCATTCCAAAAGTGTAGATCTTCAAGTTTCACCAAGAACACACACTAGTGTTCTTGGACTTTTAGCACCTTTTCAAGCTTCTACCTAGTAAGTACTCTTACCCTAGTGTATTATAAGACTTTTTACACTTCTAATCATCAAGAAAACACCCAAGAAACACAAGATCAAAGGTGTTTACGGTCCAAGAACACCTTGGACCGTAAACCCTAACAAAGGGGCCAAAGTGGCCCTAGTCCCTTACCAAGCCTTGGAAACTAGCCTAGACCCCTTCCTTGATATGCTTAGTACTTGAAAACATCAAAAAACCATAAACCATTTGGGTTTACGGCCATAAACCCAAGGAGAAGTGGTCCAAGGACCGTAAACTCCCTAAAGGAGTGAAATGGTGCCCTAATCTCTTCCTAAGGCTTAAACATGAAGTATGAATGCTTCTTATGATCTTTATGGCTTCAAAACACAAAATGGTCAAGTACCATGAGTTTACAGCCATAAACTCATGGGTTTACGACCGTAAACTCAATGAGTTATGGTCACAAAACCGTAAACTCCAAGGGAGTTTACCCTTGAACCCTAAACTCAATTGCAATGTCCTACAACCCTTAGATGCAATCCTTAGCACTTATAAGCACTTAAATCAAGTGTTTTACATGTCTTAGGATGTCTTAACTTGGTTAATTAGTTGTTTAATGACTAATTGGATACATATATGTGTGATTATATGTTAACTAGGATCCTTGTGTGTGTTCAAGTCTTCACTTGACACTTAGCATCCTACATCATCCGTTCATCCAAACCACTCACTACAGGTGAGTTCATACCCCCTTAATCAATATTTTTAAATGATTTTAAATGCTTTCATGGGGGGAGAATACAAGTAGAAAACAGGAAGTTATAGAATCAATCACATGTGATTTATAACTGTGTTTTCAAACAACTGATATCACATACTTCAAAATGTGATGAATACAATGCTTTTCAGTTATTTTTACTTTGTTATCAACAAATTACTTTTGAATTATTTTATAAACTGACATCAAGTCATTATTATTTATTGGTCAAAACTCTTAAATGTTTTACAAAACCTCTTTCAATTTACTGTTAAAAACCATATCTATACACTTATGTTTCATGTATATATGTACTGATATGAGAACTTTCATTCTTTCTTCAGTTCCAACACTCTTGAGTAGCAAGGGTGTATAAACCTACTTAGACATTCAATTTACATTCCAGTAAACTATTATAGGTATAGTTTAGGGGATACAAATTACTATTCCTATTACAAGGAATTACACAAGAGTCAGTTCATTCATGAGTCTATACTACTATATGAAGAGATACTATTACATGTTATCCAGAGAGAAATACTATATCTATACAGAGAGAAATACTATATATATATACTATACGGGACTGACCATCCTACACCTGGCTGCTAGCTACAGCGGGACCTGTTCATCGACGGATGATCTCGGTTGTACTGTTCGGCGAGTTTCCACGCCGTGTTTATCCTAAGGCAAAAGGATACGATTTCAATGATTATATAATTTTCCCTATTACTTTTATTTTGTGACACATTCACATAAACGATGAGGTAGACTATATTTTTATAATAATAGTTGTACAGGAAAAAATCTTCATTGATATAGAAATGCAAACCTTCAAAGCATTCGGGTCTTGGTAGAAGACTACTTTTTATACTAGTAGGAAATATGAGATTTTCTAGGGTTTTCACACTTATACTAAATGTTTCATCAAATATTTACAAGTCTTTCATAATAGCTTTTCAAATCAATGACACCATAATACTTATGAATTCACCAGCTTTATGCTGATCTACACTTTCAAAATAACTTGTATTTTCAGGTCACCAGTAGACAGGTACGATGACCAGGTTTTGAGAAGACGGAGCATAGACAAGACTCGTCTTTTATTTTGATTACATATTTTGGTGTCTTATTACTATGAAAGAACACTCATGTATTAAAACTTTACTTTTAATGCAATGGATGATGTTGTTGCTTGTTTACTACTTTGCACTGTTATGATAATGTACATGACGTCCTCCACCCCTGAACGTTTCCGCCGTTCTTGGTTTTGGGGTGTGACATAGGGCACGCCTAGTACGCTTAGTGTACCTTATGTACGCTTAGCGTACTCTTCTTGATCCCAAAGTTACAACTTTAGCCCTTAGGCTCCTCATGGCTTCACTCTTCGATCCCCAAGGACTATAATGACAAAATAATAATAAAAGAGAGGATTCGGAAATACCTGAAAAATCTCGGGATGTTACATACACACTTCATGGAGGTTAGTTGGTAGCGAGACAATGTACGGTGCGAGGAATAGTAGGTGGTAGTGAGTTGTATGATTGTTGTTTGCCTGTATTATGTGCCTATTTGATCCTTGATTGTTTATATGTCGACATACGGTAGTAGTGGGTTGAGGCGGTCCTATTTTGTGTTGTAGGCCAAGATACCCGGTGCGGGCCGACTGTAACCTTGAATTTTTTCCAAGTGATTTTTTTAGAAATTTGGTATAACTTGAATTTTTTAAACTGTTTTTTTTTTAACTTTGCTTTTTTAAAAAACTTTGATTTACGAATTTGATACAATTTCTTTTTATAGTTTCCATAATTTTTTATAACTTGATTTTTTTTTTTTTAAAAAAAACTTTGATTTTTTTTTTATCATTTCCTTTAATAATATTTTCAGTTTCGATTGCATCTTTTTTAAAATGAGTGATTCTTTTACGAATTTTCTTGACATTGTTTGTAATATTTTCTTAATTGTTTTTATATTTTTTAAAAATAGTTTTTTCTAGAAAAAAAACTGATAGCTTCTTTTACATTTATTTAGAGTTTTTTAGAAATTTTATATTTTTGTTTTTTTACATGATCTTTTTAGTAATCTTTCAATGTTTTAAGACTATGATTATTAAAATTTCGATGTTGAGAATTATTTTTAGTTTGTAAAATCAATTTATTTAAATTTCAGTTTATTGCAGCATCCTGCAGATGTTAAAAACAAACATGTTTTTTATTACAGGCTGCAACTGTTTGGTCCACATCTTCTACTGCAGAGGGTTACAGAGGTGGTCCGAAGACTTCATGAATTTTTGCTTCGAAAAAACAAACAACACCTTAGTTTACCTGCCACTCCTTCGATTCACTCTGTTTTTCATGTTTCACAGCTCAAGAAGGTGGTGGGCGACCCGTAGGAGTAGGTGTTAACTGATCTACCAAGAGATTTAGGCACCGAAGTTTCAGTAGTGTTGCTACCCAAGAAGATGTTGATAGCAGGGACAGTTTGGGTAACATTGAGTTGCTGATCAAGTGGATTGGGCTACTAGAGGAAAATGCGACGTGGTCTAAGGCGAGAGTGTTGATATGAATCGTCCCGGAAGATGGTCTAAGGCTCATCAAATGAGAGGGAAGAAAGTATCACGGGGTGTTTAGTCATTTTTTCGGCTTTAGTAGTTGAAAATTTATTCTTTTTCTTATTTTGTGTGGAGATTCCTGAGTTTATATCATAAGGCTAAAGGATGTGGTGTCGCCCTTTATCACATATAGTCTTTTCCACACCCACACCCAGAGAGAGAGAGAGAGAGAGAGAGAGAGAGAGAGAGAGAGAGAGAGAGAGAGAGAGAGAGAGAGAGAGAGAGAGAGAGAGAGAGAGAGAGAGAGAGAGAGAGAGAGAGAGAGAGAGAACCCATTGCTATTTTTTCTTGTCATGCGGTTCATACCACACACAAGGCATGATGACAAGAGAATCAAATATGACACATAACACTTCATTCTTAGACCACTCCCATTGGTGACTAGTTGCCTTTAGTTGGTTGGGTTGATCATTAAATAAAAATGAAAAGGGTTTCCAAAAAGCAATAATATGACCGATGGTGTTGGTGCAACAAACATTAGTCGGTTGACTTATTTCAAATACATCTATTATTGCCATCTTTACTTATTATGAAACAAGTTTTATAAATCACAAATATGTTTTATTTTGTTGAAAAAAACAAAATACATTTAAATTTATAACTTATTTTTCTCTGCAAATAGAGACTAATAATGATGTATTTTTTTATTATTTTTTTAATATTAATTTTTAGGTTGGTCTAAGTTGCTAACGAGAGTAAAAGTTTGAGTTTAATTGGATTGTATAGATAGAAGAGAAAGAAATTAATATTTTAATAGATAGTTGGGTTGGTTTTAATTGTGAATGAGAGTAGTCTTACCACGTCCTACACCCTATATTCTAATTGGCCTAGTGCAAATGGGTTTGCTTGATCCTTTTTTTTTCATAATTCATCAAACAATTTCCCCAGAATGTAATCTCAAACGTCAAAAGTCTAAAAGGGATTAAAATGTATAATACTCAAAGAGGAAGCCATTAATTATCAGCTCTCCGCAACTAAAAACTCAACACCAAAGTTGATCAAACAAACATCTTCGATTTTAAGCATGCTCTTGAGCAATCTTAACAGCTTACTATAAAAAACTATTTATGCTTACACACATTGAAAATCCAGAAAAACAGTAGAAATACATTAAGCTTATAGTAGTATCCAAAAAGGGCGACCCTGTCCACCAAATCCATTTAGCTTCCTATGTGCCATGATCATATCATCAAGCACTCCCCTTGTTACCAACACATTACATTGATGCTAATTTTCAAAATTTGAATTAGATCTCATACTATACTCAGCAACAAGCTTTGCAAACGAAGACGATTTATCTTCCAGCAACTTTGTTGGAGAATCATATTCATCAATCAGACCTTGTTCTAGAACCAAAACCATGTCACTATCAAGCACAGAAGTGATACGATGAGCAATCATAATCACCGTGGAGTCTGTAAAGTGTTGTGCAAGTGTTTGCTGAATCATTCCATCAGTTGCTGTGTCAACTGATGCAGTAGCCTCATCAAGAACCAAGACTTTTGTTTTCTTCAGTAGCACACGCCCTAGACACACCAGCTGCCTTTGACCCACACTCCAGTTCTCTCCATTCTCAGTCACTATAACATTTTGTATCAAAACTGTTAGTTAGATAACATAAGTCCAAGATTTTTTGGAGCTTTTAGAAAGAGAAGGTAGATTCCAACAGTCTAACATATACCTGATGAGTCAAGCTTCCCTTCCTTGCTCCTCACTTCATCTCCAAGCTGGCACTTATCAAGAGCCTGAAGTAACAAACAGTGTTAGATTCTACTCATTCTAGCATTACAAAATGTTTGAATGCAGTGAAATTTATGTTTGTAGTTTTGCTACCTCCCAAATCTTATCATCTGTATACTCTTCAAGAGGATCCAAGTTGCTTCGAATAGTTCCTTCAAACATGGTAGGATCTTGAGGAATTATGCTCAATTTTGAACGAAGATCATGAAGTCCGATTGTTGATATGTTAATTCCATCTATGAGAATCTCTCCAGCTGCGGGGGTCCACAAGGCGAAAGAGTGTTTGTATCAGAGTTGACTTCCCGCTACCCGTTCTTCCCACAATCCCAGTCTTCATTTCTCCCTTGAAAGTGCACGTAAGACCTCGCAACACAAGTGGCATATGTGGTGCATACCGTACCTTTAAGAAGAAATAGAAACTTATGAGGACTTAAGTTGGCAAAGCACAAAAGTCAAGGACCAAAGCCATGCATAGAAACTTAGGAGGACTTAAGTTGCCAAAACAAAAAAGTCAGGGACCAAAACCATGACAAGCTAAATGCTTAAAAATAAGCACGAAACGTTAAAAAAATTATGCCGAAACATACACAAACCCGAATTTATACCGACACGTACATAAAAAAGCAAGTTTTTTTTTTTAAAATTAACAAATGAAAGTTCTAAATTTACGTTGAAACGTTGACCATGTCGAATTTATACCAACATATATATAAAAAGAAACACATAAATTAATTTTTTTTAACTTAAAAATTTTTATAAAGTTCAAAGCCAAGGGGGTTAAAGTGATATTTTAATAAGTCAAGGGGTTGTAACTCCAGGAGAATCAGATTATGTATACTATGGGGGTAAACATGAAAGTGGAGGGGGTGAAAGTGAAATTTTAGAAAGTTCAAAGTTGAATGGGTAAAAATGACATTTTAAAAAGGAGAGGGGTGCAAAATAGAGGGGGTGAAATGGACATTTTAGAAAGTTCAAACTTGAGGCAGTAAAATTGACATTTTACAAAGTATAAGGGTGGAAAATGTTGTTTTACAAAGTAGAAGGGTGGAAAATAAAAAAAGATACAAAGTAGAAAAAGGTTATAACCAAAGTGGAAAACTCCACCAAATATTTGGAACATATATATTAGACAACTGTCCTAGACATTTATTTATTTAAGTACCTGTAGATGACGAATATCAACTTCTCCCTGTGATGGCCATTGATCATCAGGCCTATTTGATTCTATAACAAGAGGAGGTTCACTAGGGATAGAAGAATACTGAAATATTCTTTCAACCGAAATAATTTTGTTTTCAAGATTTGTAAGTGTCCAAACTACCCATCCGTTTAACGTGTTCAAAGTAAGCCCATAAGTAGCAGCCAATCCCGCAATACCTTGAGAAATATACAAAAAAAAAAATCCATTAGTCATGATTCATGAATTCTTTGTTACTTATTGATGGCTTGATGCAATATGTAACATGAAAGAATAACTTACTTGGATCAATAGTTCCTTCGGGAATAGAAACCAAGAAAATTAGAAACACAGCAAAAGTTAAAGTCGACAGCATGTCTAAACGTATGCCTAACCATTCCATAGCTGCAGCAGCATGAAACTTTGGCCTTGCAAAATCATCATTCAGTTTCAGATTCGTGTCCTGAAATCTTCCTTGTTGATCAAAGCTTCTGATTGTAGTTGATCCTGATATTGTTTCAGCAAAGTTTTGAATCACAGGGCCTTTACAAACTCCAACTAAACGTGCCATTTCTCTTGCTGAAGGCAAGTAATATTGCTGTAACCAGATGCACATTACACCCACAGGAATGAATATAATAATCACTTGCCAAGCAGCTTGTGACATAACTGCAATGATGCCAAGAAGTTGAATGATAGCAAATACAAAGGATCCAACTTGGTAAGGGATTTGCATATCCACTGCACTTTGATCTGTAGATGCCTATTTATAGAAACCAACATTAAAAAAATTGGTAGATTGAGAATTTGAGTAGATGTTGTTGACTTACTCTATTTAGTATTCGTCCACTTGGAGTAGAGTCAAAGAAAGACATGGGAGAACGGAATATTGACAAGTGCATTTTGTGGAAGAGAATAGTGGCTGCTTTATAAGCAACAGTTGCTAGAAGTAAGCCTCTTGCTAGTATGCACAATGCGCATCCAACTGCTAAAATTACATACACCATGATTAGGGTTGATCCATTAACAGGAGCTGGATCACTTTCTGAAACTGGAGAACCCCATGCCATCCAGTAATTGCTTCCAATTTGAAGAACTTGGAACACAATTTGTGCAAATACTATAAATGGTGCAAGCGCTCCTCCATAAGCAGTTGTTATGTACTTCCAGTAGACTGAAAACCCTACTTTCCCTTTTTCTCGTTCTTCTTCTTGAACAAGCTGTGCTTTTGAACCTGAAATATCGTCTGTTTTACTATTTTGAGTTTCGTTTGTGTTCTTCTTGGAAATCGTGGTTCCTTCTTGAACATTTGCCTCCATGGAATCGATTGCTGATAATGCGTCTTTGTGTGCGCCTACGAGGTCCATAAAGTCGCTTCCTGAATTGAGGATGTCGTTGTACTTTCCGGCTTGTGTAATTCTTCCATCTTTCAAAACCTAATTGTGATGTTAATTATACGGAGTGAGCTTCAATAATTGTTCGTAGGTAAAACGAAATTAAAATCGAAGAGTTAGATAACTCACCAGAATCAGATCCGCAGCAGGTAGGAACTCGATTTGATGTGTAATGTAAATCACGGTCTTCGACTCCAGAAATTGCAACATGCATTCCTATCATACAAAAACACCGAATTCACATTGAAATGATGTGATTGAATATTTAGTTCAAAACTGTTAAAATGTTGCTTACTTTGAAAAGATGACTTCCAGTATGAGCATCAACTGCACTGAATGGATCATCAAAAAGATATATATCAGCATCTTGATAAAGAGCTCTTGCAATCTGAATCCTCTGCTTCTGTCCTCCACTCAAATTAATCCCTCTCTCACCAATAACCGTTTGATCACCAAAAGACAAGATTTCAAGATCTTTCTTCAAAGAACACGCTTCAAGAACCTTATCATACTTCTCTCTATCCATCTCCCTACCAAACAAAATATTATCTTCAATCTTTCCACTTTGTATCCATGGTGATTGAGCCACATACGCCTTTGTTCCTTCAACTTTCACACTTCCAGATATCTTCGACACCTCTCCCAAAATACAAGAAAGTAAGCTTGATTTCCCTGAGCCAACAGTTCCACAAACAGCAACTCTCATGCCATGATTCACTCTAATGTTTATATCTTTCAGTGTGAGATTCGAAGAGGAAGCATTTGCATCCCATGCGAAGTTTCCATTGATGATCTCAACTGCCACGTCAGAACTGCCAGGTGGCACCTTATCTATCGCGTTGGAATCTATGTCTGTGAGGCGAAGGTATGTGGCAATTCGGTCAAGTGAGACTTTAGTTTGGAAAAACACTGAGATTGAATCGGGAAGATTGTAGATAGGCTCTTGAAGTATTTTGAATGTGGCTAATGCAGAAAGTACTTTCCCTGATTCAAGTGGAATCCCAAAAAATAGACACGTGGCAAAAGTGACCACAGCTACAACAATAGGAGCACCCCAGAATATGAAAGAAGTTAGGGATAAAGTGTACATGTATTTCTTCAATGCGTTTTCTTCTTCATCACGAAGTTTGATGATTTTTGAAAGAAACTTCATTTCCCAACCTTGAAGTTTAAGAATCCTCATGTTTCTCAAGATTTCGGATGTTGCTTTCATTCTCTTGTCTTTAGATTTCATCAAGTCATCTTGAAGCTTTTCTTGTATGTTCCCAAGTGGAAGATTTGCTAACAACACAACTATTGTAGCAACTAATGAAGCAATTGCAGCAAGTCCTAAATTTTTATATAAAAGTGCTAAAGCAACACCTACTTGGATAAGAACTAACCAAAAATCATGCATATACCATGCGTAATCACCTACTCTTTCAGCATCAACAGCCATGAAGTTGATGATTTCTCCACTTGAGTTCCCTTGCTTTGACTGGCCGGAAATGGTCAAACCCTTTTGGTAAATCATGGCGACAATTGCTGACCTGGCGCGAATGCCAGCTTGCTGGAGTTTGAAGTACCAGTGTCTTTGTGTGAAACAGCCCACCATTTTTGAAACGAAAAATGCAGCGACTAAAACAAAACCTTGGTTTTTGTAAGCTTTGTGTCCATTAAGGTATTGAACGAATTCGTCTATGAGGTAAGGGCCAACAAAACTAGTCAACGAAGATGCTAAACCAAGGAATCCAGTGATTACAACTTCTTTCCATACGATGTAAAATAAAGCTTTTGTGAGACCGAATGTCGTGATTTGGTGATTCTCACCGTTTAAAGACTCGATTTTTTGTAATAAAACAGGAAAGACTTGTTTCACGCTATCGATATCTGCTAGCTGTGGGACGTCTTCAAGGTCTAATGGTTTTTTATTTCCTTTCGCGATTATCGCACTCATCCAAGAAAATGTCAGCAGACTAAAGAAACTTGCGTTTTCGTAAGTTGATGGAATCTCAACCCTAACTCTATCGCCGCTAGAATTCAAAAGGGGTTCTTCAAGATTGTGATTTTGACCTTCTTCTTCGCGCTTGTGAGACAACCCCACAAAACAGAGAAACAAACCCAGGAGACTAGACACGGAATCGGACAGGATGAACATGGAAGGTGGATTATGGGTTCTTTTGTAGTTGATGTAATCTACCACAAGGGAATAACAAGAAACTGTAAAGAAAAACACCCACCAAACCCTTAAGACCAATGGGTACTTTGAAGATTGTGTCGACGAATTCGAGACGAGTGTATGCAGATACACAGAAACGAAGGACCAAATAAGTGTTCCAAGAACAGCATGCAAAAGGGTGACAATCTTTTCATCAGACCAGCCATTTCTATACCAATAAAAATTGTTCAAGAAACACAAAACTAGGTTGAAGAGTGAAAGAAGAAGAGAACAAAACAGAGTTTGTTTGAGAAACAAATACCCACAACTATGTTTTGCAACCACAGTTTGATCAATCCTGAATCTTTTCGATACCCAAGAGATTGATATGAAAAGCAAGAACAGAAATTGTATGGAGGCAAAACACCCATGTAAGAAAATGGGGTTTAACAAG